AATAGCCTCCCAGAGCTGCTGTTTGGATGTAAACTGCCTCCCACCCTCATAGATCTTTTTCTTGAGGATGCTCCAAAAGTTCTCAATAGGATTGAGGTCAGGGGAGGATGGATGCCACACCATGACTTTCTCTCCTTTTATCCCCATAGCAGCCATTGATGCAGAGGTATTCTTTGCAGCATGAGATGGTACATTGTCATGCATGAAGATGATTTTATTACGGAAAGCATAGTTCTTCCTTCTGTACCAGGGAAGAAAGTGGTCAGTCATAAACTCCACATACTTTGCAGAGGTCATCTTTACACCTTCGGGGACCCTAAAGGGGCCGACCAGCTCTGTTCCCATGATTACGGCCCAAAACATGACTCCACCATCGCCTTGCTGACGTTGCAGCCTTGTTGGAGCAGGGTGGCCATCCACCAACCATCCACTACTCCATCCATCTGGACCATCCAGGGTTGCACGGCACTCATCAGTGAACAGGACTGTTTGAAAAATAGTCTTCATGTATTTTTCTGCCCAATGCAGCCGTTTCTGCTTGTGAGCATTGGTTAGTGGTGGCCGAATAGAAGGTTTATGCACAGTTGCAAGACTCTGGAGGACTCTACACCTTGATGTCTGTGGGACTCCAGAGGCACCAGCAGCTTCAAATATCTGTTTGCTGCTATGTAATGTTATTTTAGCAGCTGCTCTCTTGATCCAATGCATGGATCTGGCAGAAATCTTCCTCAATGTGCCTTTATCTGCACTAACCCGTCTGTGCTCTGAATCAGCCACAAATCTCTTAATAGTGCGATGATCACACTTAAGTTTTTGTGAAATATCTAATGTTTTCATACCTCGTCCAAGGCATTGAACTATTTCACTCTTTTCGGCAGCAGAGATCCTTTTTCTTCCCCATATTGCTTGAAAATGATGCTCTGCTTAATAATGTTGAACACCGTCCTTTAGTAGTTTTTCCTTAAATTGGGCTCACCGGCCAATCTAATTATCACAGGTGTCCGAGATTGTTTTCAGTGATCAAAAGAGCCCTGAGACACAGTGCCATCCATGAGTTAAACTGAAAAACAAAATATTTAATCTTTGTGACACTTAAATAGAATTTGCATAATATTTTGGAACAGGGTGTAGATAGGCAGGAACCAGTACAATTAGGGAGCTTTTGTTAACCACAAGGCTGAGTGGGATTAAGCAGTAAGTCTGTGCAGAAACAAGCTCAGGGAGTACACAGTTCAGATAGCAAGGAGGCTGGAAAATTTCTATTTGTCATTGTGAAGCTGAAAACCCCTGCACGGAGTATGCTGTGATATACCGGCCTCCTGTATCCATATCCCGCTTCCTGGATGACTTCTCCTCCTGGCTACCCTTCTTCCTCTCCTCTGAGCTACCCACCATCATCCTTGGGGATTTCAACATCCCTGTCAACCTCGACAACCCGGACACATCCCATCTCCTCCACTTAACCTCCTCCTTTGCACTTGCACAGTGCATACAATCCACCACCCACTCCAACGGTAATATCCTTGATCTCGTCTTCTCCAACCGCTGCGCTCCCCACAACCTCACAAACACCCCCTTCCCTCTCTCTGACCATAACCTGATTACCTTCTCTATCTCCTCGTCCTCCAACACCTACCCCTCTAAATGTCACACTGCTACCAGCCGTAACCTCCGCAACCTTAACCCTGCCCCCCTCCACTCTGCAGCTGATCAACTCCACGACAGCATTCTCCCCCTGTCCTGCCCCGACTTGGCTATGACTGCCTACAACAACGCGCTATCAACAGCCCTTGACTCACTAGCGCCTTTAACCACATGCAACATCAGACCCCCGACCGCTCCAGCCCTGGTAGACTGATCACACCAAAACCCTCAAACGACGCAATCGTGCCCTGGAGCGACTATGGTGCAAAATCCCAACAAGCCTTCACCCGCTACAAATCTGCCTTCCACACCTACACCTCCTCCCTCCACGCTGCCAAACAAGCCTACTTCCTGACCCTCATCAAGGCCCTCTCCTCCAATCCTCGCCGACTCTTCTCCACCTTCAACTCTCTGCTCTCGCCACCCCCACCTCCACCCAGCACCTCACTCACTGCCCTTGAGATTGCCAATCACTTCAAAAACAAGATTGACACAATTCGCAAGGACATCGCCGCAACTCACATGCCCTCTCAACCTGTCCCCTCTCACACAGCTACCCCCTCATCCCCCCTCTCCCTCGACATAACCCGCAGGGACTTCGTCGCTGCTCAAACTCCCTCCAGCTCTGTTCCCCCTCACTCAGCTACCCCCTCATCACCCCTCTCCCACTTCCACCCCACCCTACATTCCTCATACTGAAGCCCCCCCAACACTCCGCACCTTTGACCTTACTACTATCGAGGAAGTCTCCAAGATCCTCTCTGATGCCCGCCTCACCACCTGCCCCCTCGACCCTATCCCCTCACAGCTCCTACGACCTCCCTCCCCCTCCATCCTACGCTCCCTCACCCACATCTTTAATCTCTCCTTCTCCTCCGGCACTTCCCCTCCCCTCTGAAACATGCACACATCACCCCCATACTTAAAAAGCCCTCCCTGGACCCCAATGACCCGAATAACCTCAGACCCATCTCCCTGCTCCCACTTACATCTAAACTCCTCGAGCACCTAGTCTACACCCGCCTAAGCTCTCACCTCAACGACAACAACCTCCTCGATCCCCTACAGTCTGGCTTCCGTCCCCTACACTCCACCGAAACTGCCTTACTCAAACTCTCCAACGACCTGCTAACCGCCAAAGCTAATGGCCACTATTCAGTGCTCCTACTCCTTGACCTCTCTGCGGCCTTCGACACAGTCGACCACCCCCTCCTCCTCAAAAAAACTACACTCCCTCGGCCTCAGAGATTCTGCTCTTTCCTGGCTCTCATCCTACCTGTCACAATGCTCTTTCAGCGTTACCTATAATGCTATCACCTCCCCCTCCACTCCCCCTTTCTGTTGGGGTCCCTCAAGGCTCTGTCCTTGGGCCCCTTCTCTTCTCCATCTACACCTCCTCCCTTGGCCAACTCATATACTCTCACGGCTTCAACTACCACCTCTATGCCGACAACACACAAATCTATCTCTCAACCCACCACCTCACCCCCTCGGTCTCCGCCAAAATCACACACCTACTGAGCGACATATCAGACTGGATGTCGCTCCACTTCCTTAAACCTCTCCAAAACCGAGTTTCTTGTCTTCCCCCCAGCCCGGACACCACCCCCCATTGACTTCTCCGTCACATCCAACAACGCCACCATCAAACCCGCCCCGCAGGCCAGAGTACTTGGTGTCATTCTGGACTCCAACCTATCCTTCCAGCCCCAAGTCCAATCTTTAACAAACTCGTGCAGACTCCACCTCCGCAACATCGCCAAAATACGCACGTTCCTAACCCCAGAAACCACTAAACAGCTCATCCACTCCCTCATCATATCACAACTCGACTACTGCAACTCCCTCCTCACTGGCCTGCCTCGCCGCTGGCTATCCCCGCTTCAGTCGATCTTGAATACGGCTGCCAGACTCATTCACCTTTCCAACCGCTCCATTTCCGCCACCCCCCACTGCCAATCCCTCCACTGGCTTCCGATTGCGCAACGGATCAAAATCCTAACACTGACGTACAAAGCTGTCCACCATACTGCCCCGTACTACATCACTGACCTAATATCCAAGTACCGCCCAGCACGCACACTCCGCTCCTCACAAGACCTCCTTCTCTCTAGTTCCCTGGTCTCCTCCTCCCATGCCCGCCTCCAGGACTTCTCCAGGGTGTCACCCATCCTCTGGAACTCCCTGCCTCAACCCATCAGATTATCACCTACTCTCCTCTCCTTTAGGCGCACCCTGAAAACCCATCGCTTCAGGGAAGCCTACCCCACCCCCTGCTAACTTGCCAACCTCCTCCTCTTCCTACCACTCCATCCCCCTCAGCTATCTCCTCCTGTGCCACTATCCCCTCCCTCCTAGATTGTAAGCTCGAAAGAGCAGGGCCCTCGATCCCGTCATGTTTTGCATTGTATTGTATTGTTATTGTACTGTCACATGTTCTGTCCTCCTTTGTAATGTACAGCGCTGAGCAAACCATTGGCGCTTTATAAATACTATATAATAATAATAATAATAATGAAGTATGAGTATGAACTTGTGAACTTTTCTGTTAAATAAAAGTCGACAAAACAGAGCCCTTAAAGCAGTAGTAAACTTAATTTAATTTTGTCCTACAGGTAATCTTTTAATAAGCCTAAATATAGGTACTATGTATATCTTTCAAGCTTATGCTGCTTAGGAAATATTCACAGTGGCTCCAGGGGATAATGTCACCGCGCATGTGCAGTGCGCTCTGTATTCAAGGCCTACTGAGTGTGCCATGAATGTAGAAAGCTCCTTACTACCTTAATGACTGCCATGTTCAGGCACAGGAGTGACCTGGTCATTCAAATGGCTGGAGAGTGTGAACTTAGAAGGAAGACCAAGTAAAGATGGAAGCACCAGGAGTAGTCACAGACCAGTACTGGAAGGCTCTATTTGAAAAGGCTCTATTTGAAAAGTAAGTCATTATGTTCTAGTATGTGGTTAATACTAGCACATTACGGCATAACACTGCAAGGGGTCCATTTAAAAAAAAAAGTTGTTAGAGTTTACTCCTGCTTTAAACCAGCATTGGTGAATTGACAATTGCTGGTTTAGATGTGACCAACAAAGTACTGCCTGCATGTCAGATTTTGACATGCGACTGTGTCTGTGCAGCCACTAAATCTGCATCTACTTCTATGGGCTACCTGCATGCAGAGATGCATGCAGATACCTGAAAATGTGACTGCACAGAGGAGAGGAGAGTACTTAATGAGTGCTCCATTTTCGACTTTACTTTCCATTTCTTGTATTTATTACTATTTTATTTATTATTTGTTTATTATATTTTATACTGTTATTTTTATTCTTCCCTGGATTATTTTATACAACAGCATAATTCACCTCAAGTGAATGAATCTGTAGATGACCAATACATCATGAGAAAGCATGCTCAGATCTATCCCACTGAGAAAGAGCTTCAGGCTATCCAGAAAACTGTATCGTTGTCTGAAAGAGCACTCAAGCTTGTATCCGATTGCATTAGACGTGATTCTGGTGATGAAGACGCTAGGTAAATAAAATATGTAACTTTTGAGTTATTCTTCTATATGTTTCATCCTTTTATACCTGTGTTTACATGTTGCTGTATGATAAATATATTTTTCCAGTTCAGTGACTGTCTTGGCAAGATATTTGCCATATACTAGCTTTAGCCATTATTCTTCCTTTTGGAGTTTGAATTTTACATAATGCATAATCTGAGAGGGTGATTGAGAACACTTCCAAGCTTGCCAAGTAAAGCATGGAGGTGTATCCTTAACAGCTGTTGAAAGCCAGTGCGGGATTCAGTCCACAACATTTATTAAAGCAGAACTTCACCTAAAGAGAAGTTCTGCTCCCCCCCCCCCCCTTACATTTTTTTCTGTTAGGGGGTGGTAAAACCCTGCAGCTGAATCATGGTTTTACCACCCTCAATCCTTACCCCTTTAGCTGTTGAGGCAGTCGCCAAAGGCTTGTATATGCCGCAGCAGGAATTAAACCCCTGTTGCTGTTGGTGGGAGCTTCTGGCTGGCAGTAGTGACCTGTTCAAGCAAATGGGACCACTCTGCAAGTATCATGCAACTGCATGCTTCTGTGGGTACAAGGGGTTAAAGCAGGTGGTGAGAAAGCAAACCCCTTGTTTGCTGTACTGCACAAGGTTGCAGGGCACTTGCAGAGCAGCCTCATTCACTTGAATGGGTCATGCTTGGCAGGTGTTACACCCACCAACCATGACAGGGTGAATAAAGCATGCTGGGGCTGCGATATGTGTACACCCCTGGCCATTGCAGCTTAAGGGGTGCGAATGGGGCGGGAGTGGTAAAAACATGTTTTAACTATGGGGTTTTGTCACCCCCCCCAAACTGCAAACGAACCCTTACTGTTCTGAGCCCCGAATAAGGCTGCTTTCACACTGATGTGCTGCGGTTTACCTGCAGTGTGGGTGCAGCACAATGCATCTGCGAATTTCCCGGGTTAACTGTGGTTTGCCATAGATTTATGTCCTGCAGGTGTGGTGCACTTTCTGAAAGCGCACCAAAACTCCTACATTCAGGAGCTTTGGTGTACTTTCAGAAAGTGCACCAAACCCACAGGATATAATAGAAGTCTGTGGCTAAGCACAGCAAACCCACTGGAAAGCTGCAGGTACAACGCAGCACATCAGTCTGAAGGCAGCTCTGTACTATCATTCTCAGTGTACTGCTTCACAGTGACCTGAAGATCTCTTCTTTCCAGCTGCTGGCACCACTCTGGAGGCCGCTATCCGGGATAAAAGGTGGAGTGCAGTTGGCATCACTCCACATGAGACAGGCGCCATCACTACAGAGGAAGCATCAGCTTATGTAGCTCTTGCTCCCTACTACAGCTGCAACTTTCCAAGTAGTCAGCAAGCCCAGACCGAGATCTACCAGTCACCTGGCTGTGATCTACTGGTATATCGCGATCTACAGGTTGCTGACCCCCGTCCTAAAAAATGCACATTTAGGAGATATTCATTTTACCTACAGATAAGCTTTATTATAAGCTTACCTGTAGTAAAAAGTTACAAATTAAGAGTTTACTAACACTTTAAGAAATACATTTCATTATGTGCCGTATTATTGAATATAAAGCTACATTATTTTTATTTTTAATATCTACCAATAGTTCAGCTTTCTCTCCACTCTGTACACTGTGCTGTACATTTATCTACTCCCTACTGCTCCACTCTGTACATTGTTCTGTATACAGTAGTGTATATAATACATGGCACTACACTATACACGCTACCATTTTTGTGAACTCCATGCTTCTATTGTATAGAGACTCAATGAGCCCCTTAGAACTTTTCTGAAGGCAATAAATGTTATCTTAAGGCCTGCTTACATTTATGTAGTTTTCTGAGCCCCCACTGTGGGTAAACTTCAGATCACTGGAAAAAAAATAAAGCCGTATTAAATCCAAAAGCAAACCTTTATTACATTGCAGCTTACCAATACTTAAAAGTAATGGCTGTGTAAGTTTCTTTTTTTAGGCTTTTTGTTCTATTTTCATCTGGTAAGCCAGCTAGTTTGTCTGTTTTTCAAAAGCTCCAGCTCTCCAACAGAATGTATCAGTTTACATGGATGAGACAAACCACTGAACACAGATGGGGGTGAATAAAATGATCAGCTTATATTTATGCATGTAAATTCTTTATCCCAAAAGGGGAAATAAACTGCTATAACTGCTTATAAAGTGTGAGCTGGAGTCTGGCTTTAATTTGTTAGAGTATCTAAATCTAATAATACATTTAACAATCCTGTATTCCCCAGAGGGACAGTTGTGCTGTCTGCTATGCCCACTGTACTAATTCATCCAGAGTGATGTCTCACTAATAGTGTGTTACTGGCTAGATCACCAGGTTAACAGAGGGGAAAACAGGCAAAGAAAAGAAAATTGATGCAACCACCACATCTAATGATTGGTAATCTGCAATATATTTATTTTTTGGTTTTGGGTTTAATACTGCTTTCAGTTGAAGAGTTCACTCCGTTGCAGTGCATGTCTTTTTTAGAATGTTATGCTGCATTTCTGTTCTGCTGATTTGTGATTTTTGGCACATGCAGGTAATGTGCATGTGCAACTGAAAACTACATTGGACCTAAATGCGGGTCCATGCACACGATGCTTCATTTGACAGATACATATTGATATATTTGTCTATTATTTACATTTTTTATTTTCTGTGTATGTGATGTATTGTTAATATACCTATGTTATTCACAGTAAAACTGGCAATGCCGGTGTCTTGAGGGGTGTTAAACGTGTTGGTATCCTGTCAAAAGGCCTCATTTTGCGAGGCAACCAGAATTTTCAGCTAACCTTGTTATGCTCAAACAAGCCAACTTGCAGCTTGATAAAGAGGATTGCGGAAGTTCTCCCAGAACAGCTAGAGGTAAGTCTTTAGTGTGAGTTTTGTGTGTTTCAATTTTTGCACTGGAGATAAAACTTGTCTGTTTTCTAAAATGAAAAATCTCCACCAGTCACTGTTTGTATGTAAAATGGTAGGATAATACAAAACTTGTTATCAAAAGTATAAATCATTCTGTATAAAAGAAAATACTTGAAGAGGTTCTGATGTTTTAAAGCAGAACTCAAGGGAACCCTTTTTTCTTAAAATGTGCTGTATTATAAAAAAAAAAAAAAAAAAAGACTTTAGTCACAAAGTTTTCTATTTACAATTTCATTCATGCTGGATAGTAGAGCTTTCGCTGTATTTAGCGCTGCGACTATGAGTGCTGCAGTTCTCATACACAGAAGCTGTATCCTTGTTTTTCCACAGCTTCTCTCCCCTTGTCCATTCAAAGATTGCCTTATATTCACTTAACTGTTCACAAAATACAAGGCATTCTGTGAATGCACAAGGAGAAAGAGCAGCAGATAAAAGACAGTACGGCTTCTGTGTATGAGTCCTGCAGCTCTCCTAGTCGCAGTGCCAGAAGAATAGTGAAAGCTATACTATCTGGCCTAAATTAAACTGTAAGTAGCAAACGAAAATGAGTAGTAAGAAAAAAGTTTTCTTGAGTTCTGCTCTAATACTAAATTTGTCAATCTCTCTTTCTCTGATGCAAGGTAGAGAAGGAGAAATGACTCTTACCTTTCACCAACTAGTGGAGCAGTCAAACTGGATGCCTGGGTTTGTGAAGTTATAGCATCAGGCAACAAGATAGAATTTCAGTCTGCATTTGGAGCAGTTTTATGTTGAACGACCTTCTGACATCCCAAAGATGAATGGTGGATATTAATTTAGATGTAAAGGGTCTCCTCACAGGGGGTAATTTGGTTACTCCACCAGAGAAGTTCAGAGGGTTCTTTTCAAACCTATTTACTGTACACAAAAAGGAAAGTGTCCATCTTTTGGACCTGAAAGCTCTCAACAAATTCAGGAAAATCCAAAAGGATGTTATCAATTGGTATTTGCATCACTTCATCCAGGAGAATTTTTGATAGACATACAGGACATAAACCTGCACAACCCCATTTGTGACCCTTTCCTTTATCCTTGCCGAAAGAGTTTTCAAGAAGGTGCTAGTTCCCGTACTGGAATTCCTCCTTATGGCTGTGATCTCTAAGTGACCTTTCAAATTCTTAGAGTTCAGCTAGCTCCTAAACTTCAGAAAATCTTGGCTGTGCTTGTTTTTTTATCTAGGGAACCTAAACTTTGTTTTGGACACTGGACAGGCAAAAGTTCTCCTTCCCTTGGAGAAACTTCAGGACCATCAATAGTATTGTGTTTTCTGGTCCTCCCTTCTCTCTAGCATAGGGTCCTGAAACTGATGGTTCATTTTGTTTAACTTTTTTTTGCCAGAATGTGGTCTTTTAAGCATTACTTTAGTGCAGGGGTAGGCAACCTTTGAGAGGTGGAAATTTACTTTAACAAAATGAAACGGATCAAAGATCGCCAGGGTTTGACATGATTTTTTTTTTTAAGAGATTACTTAGCAAGGCCTAAGTAAATAGTAGGAGGAAACTTACTTACAAAAATATAATAAAACAAATGTCACTGTAAAAATATAAACTTAGTCTACCTTAGCAGTGGATAGTAGCAGTAGGGCAGTGGATGGTGTCAGCAATTTTTTATATTGTAATTTTTACATTTTTTAATATTATTTGTTTACACTTTTTTTTTAGGAACCCTATTGGGGGGCTTTTGTGAAATATCAGGGTTCTAAACAGACTCCTGATGTCTTACTTTTGAGACAGAGAAATGCACTGAGGGCAGAAATTCCCCATTTCCTTTCTGTGCAGCCTCAGCTGCACTAGACAGTGAATGAAATGGAAAGTGCTCTGTGCCCGGCGGCTTTCTGTTGGTTCTCAAACTGAAGTATAGTAAACTCAGTTTACTATGCTTCAGTTAGGAATGGACGCAGTCAGTGATCAGTACTGATCATTGACTATATTCTTTCAGAAAAGGAACGGGGCCTGTAAATGACATATTTAAAGATCCCTTTCCTGCTCTCCATCATGAAACATCCCCTGCAGCAGCCAGCAGGAGGGGCAACCGGCAGTGCATGGGGGGGGGGGGGGTGAAATGGTGCATACAGGGGCCGGACAACACAGAGAAGAGGAACCTGGAGAGGAGGGGTGGCATTTAATGAAACCACTAGGCTGTATATTCCTTCCATGCAGCCAAATGCCGGCAGGAGGGAGAAGAGGCGAAGCAAGAATTGCCAGCTTTCAGCTGCTGTAGGGAGGAAAATACAGCCCATCAGTTTCATCAAATGCAAGCCCTCCTCTCCAGGTTCTGGGGTCAGCAACCAAGGAATGCGATCTACCCTTCACATGCCCGCAATCAATTGGTTACTCATCCCCGCTTTAGTTGGTCATTTTTAGAAACAAAGATGCTTTTTTATAGTTTACTAAAGTAATCATTGCACAGAACAACTGAATTTACCATACTCTTGTTTTAGTTTTGTGGTAATTTAATTGTAATATTCACAAAGCATTTAAAATCTCAACAATTACTCGTTGAGTAGTGGTAAATTGTTACTCAGATTGAACACATGGCTCCTTGTGGTATAAGCCACACAAAAAGCATTTAGCAGTGATTAGTCACTTGTGTGGGTAATCCTTACTACATGCCACGCATGTCTGGTAAAACTTCCAACAACAGCTGTTAGTTTGATAGCTGGGCCCTACCCTGTGCTGCAGTTTGCCAGCTTCATTCATAAATACTCTGTGACAATGTATTTAGACATGTTGTTTTATATGCAGATTAATGGCATATCCTTTGAAGGGGGGCTGTGATGTGAAGGGGAGACTGTGATGTAAATGGGAGGGGTTGAAGTCTAGGGGGCAGGGACACTGATATGAAGAAGGATTTTAATGTGAAGGAAGGCTGTGATGTGAAGGGGTAATTGAGGACTGTGATGTGAAGGGAGATGAGGACACTGACTTAAAAGAGATCACAAGAAAAAATGTACCAGAGAACAAATGTCATGATCAAAAATATTGAAGGCCAAGAATGGTGCAGAATAATTGAGCTTCTGTGGATGGCACAGGGAGATCACAGGTTAGTGAATCATAAGTGTTTGAACAGAATCATGAATATATTTTATCAGGAAAAAGGGTTTGTATATTTAGTAGTTTTCCTGTTAAGTGACTTTGCATAAAACATGTCAAAGGTTAAAAAACTGTAGAGCTGAAGTGCCTTTGGAGCTTCTTGAACCTTAAGTCAAGGTTGTACTTGGTTCTCGACTTCTGCTTAAGTTAAGATTTAGCCATTCTTCAGTTAGGAAATGGCTAGACCATATGGGCACCACACTTAAATATGAACATAATATATACCAGCATAGGGGTTGCCCGGCCAACTTTGATAGAGTGTGGGAAGGATCGTTAGATGTGCCAAGACTAGCCCCTGTAGACCAGGTCATGAATAGGCTACTGGGTTAATGTGCATTTGTATTTCTGTTCCATATTTTTCAACTGCAGCACATGGTGAAACAGAGATGTTGGAAATATGTAAACGTATTTTTGTACTTGCCAGCCTTATGAGTGGGGCCATGCTAGCTGGGTGAAGTATAGCAACTGTACTATTTTGTTTGGATGCTGTACATGTACCTCGGTGTATTAATGTCATGGTCTTCACTTTGATATGTTTGCATATGTATAATAAAACTTTTCTTAACAAAAAAAAAAAAGATTTAGCAACTCTTGGCAATAATCCTTGCTGACTATAAGCAACCTATCAAATATCAATGTTCAGTGGGTAGTAGAGCATTTGACAAATTATAGAATTGAAAGACTTACTTTTTTGGCTTGTGAAGAAGCCAAAGCACCATGGCCTAGGTAGTTTAGGCCTGGTCCAGAAGTAATATTTGTTTCCTTACTATTTTATTGTGTTTGCAAAAAAAAAATATATTTAACTGTTGAACTTACGATTGTCTATTAGTAAACATTTTTAGTCACAAGAATAGCTTGTTTATCCTTGTTACTTTTTTTTTTTTTTTTTTTTCTGCAGAAGTTATCCAAAAAGCAACATAGTGTAACCTATGACATGGAAGAGGCCCGCCTTGTGATTACGTTTGCTGATGAACCAAGGTTGCAGTTCACTGTGTTTCTTACCTGCAACCAAGTGGTTGCTAAAAATGGAGAAAAAAAGGAGGATGTAGAAACAGAAGATCTAGAGAAAAAAGAGAAAGGTGAACATTGGGGCGATTAAAGCTGAACTCTGGGCACAAAAACATTCACATATATACACTTTATTGCCAAAAGTATTGGGACACCCCTCCAAATCATTGGATTCACGTGTTCCAATTACCTCCATGGCCACAGGTGTATAAAATCAAGCACCTAGGCGTTCAGACTGCTTCTACAAACATTTGTGAAATGGGTTGCTCTTAGGAGCTCCGTGAATTCAACCATGGTACAGTGATTCGTTGCCATCTATGCTATAAGTCCATCCATGAAATTTTCTTGCTACAGTCAACTGTTCATGGTATTATAACACAGTGGATAAATGTAAACAAAAGGTTACAGTGTTGCAAAAAAGCAACTACAGGTTTGCAAGGGTACATGCACACAAACTATTCTAGCCAATTTTTATGCCTAAATTGCCCTGTGCTTTATAATGCCTGGGGAGCTGCACATCTTGCATAGAGTCTGCCATTCAGGCACGTGACTGCACTAACTAAATAAAAACAGGAGGATTAAGATTCAATCTATAATAGTAATATACACTGTGTGCGCAATTATTAGGCAAGCGAGTATTTTGACCAAATCATCGTTTTTATATATATATATATATATATTTTTTTTAATTCATTTATTACAGGTACTTATATGGCGCCGTTTATTTACGCAGTGCTTTCCACATATATATTGTACATTCCCATCAGTCCCTAACCCTCAAGGGGTGTACAATCTAAAATCCCTAACTTACATTCATACATACACATACTAGGGCCAATTTAAACAGCATCCAGTTAATCTACCAGCATGTCTTTGGAGTGTGGGAGGAAACCAGAGTACCCGGAGGAAACCCACGCAGGCACGGGGAGAACATGCGAGCTCCAGGCAGGTGGCGCTGTGGTTGGGATTAAAAACAACCCTACTACTGCCAGGCGGAAGTGCTAACCATTTAGCCACTGTGCTGCCCCATTTAGCCACTGTGCTGCCCCTATTGTCCAACACCAAGCTGTATAAATTTGAATGCTTATTGGATTTAAGTATATTAGGTGATGTGTATTTTTGTAATGAGGGAGGGTGTGGCTTAAGGAAACCAACACCCTATATCAAGGTGTGGATAATTATTAGGCAGCTTCTTTATTTTACCAAAATGGGCCAAAAAAGAGACGTAACAGACTCTGAACAGTCAAAAATTGTAAAACGTCTTTCAGAGGGATGCAGCACTCTTGAATTTGCTAAGATATTGGGGCGTGATCACACAACCATCAAACTTATTTTTGCACATAGTCAACAGAGTTACAAGAAACATTAAGAAAAAAAGAAGCAAATTAACTGCCAAACGGACGGATCTGTCTGTTTTTGACGTACCCGATCGGACCGTCAGTGTGAAAGGGGCCTAATAGTTGTCTAATAATTGTGCACCCAGATCCTTCTCCACCATTGATTCCCCCAGTTGTACTACCCCTAGTATGTATGATGCATGCATATTCTTAGCCCCCAAATTTACATTAATCAACATTAAACTTCATCCTGTAAGGACGTTATTCCACTGCACAGCTTGGTGTCATCTGCAAAGATTGAAATGGGATTTTTAATCCCAGACTCTATATTGTTTATAAATATATTAAAAAGTAAGGGTCCCAACACTGAACCTTGGGGTACACCACTGACAACTCTAGACCATTCACCACTAACGACCCTAGAGCATTCAGAGTATGAATCATTAACCACTACTCTCTGAATTCGGTCTTTTAGCCAGTTTTTATCTATTTACATACAGATTTTTCCAAGCCTGTATACTTTACCTTACACATTAGCTGTGTGTGGGGAACTGTCAAACGATTTTGAAAAATCCAAGTATACCACATCCACCGCCACCCTTCTGTCCAAGGTTTACTCACCTCATAAAAAGAAATCAGATTTGTTTGACAACTTCTGTTTTCCATGAATCCATGCTGTCTGTTGCTTAAAATATTTTTTTCCAGCAAGAACTCATCTATGTGGTCTTTTATTAAACTCTCCAGTATCTTCCCAACTATAGAAGTTAAACTAACAGGTCTATAATTACTTGGTAAAGATTTCTATCCCTTTTTAAATATAGGCACCACATTGGCCTTACTCCAGTCCAGTGGTACTATGCTGGTCATTAACTGCTTTTACTGCCGCCCTATAGCAGAAATAGCATGCCTGCCCTACCCGCATTGCCATTCGTGGCTTTTGGCTGTCAATCACCGGGTCCCAGCCAGTGATTACTCGCCAGCACCGGGTGATTGCCACGTAATAACGACAAGGGGAGAGAACTGTATGTAAACAATACAGTTCTCTCCCCTGTCAGCTTCAGCACACTGCTTTGTATGGCTCTGCTATTCAGAGCCATACAAAGCAGTGTACTTACAGTGGAAAGCACAGAGACAGCCCCCTAGTAAAACACACACAGCGCATAGTTAACCCTTTGATCGCCCAGATGTTAACCCCTTCCTGCCCAGTGCCATTAGTATAGTGTCAGTGCTTTCGTTTAGCACTGATCACTGTATTGGTGTCACTGGAGATGTCAGTGACGCCACATCAGTTCCCACCAGTGTCAGAATGCCCACCACTGTCCCACTATAAGTTGCTGATCGCCGCCATTACTAGTATGTGTGTATCTCATCAGCGGCACGTAATCAAGAAAGTAGCGCCACTGTCCTGTCTCCATGTCATTTATATAGTCCACTTTTACATTTGACAAAGTTATGCATTCAAGGCACTAATATACAAATAGTATTAGGGTCACTTAATTAAATTTAGATCCAATCAGCTAGGCCTTTCCACCACATAATTCTTGGTACATTTAGATTGTAACTTGGCCAACTTCAATCACCACAAACACTATACACAACTGATAAGGTAGATGAAAGTTGAAAAAAAAAAGTTGAAAACAACTTTTAAGAAAGTTAAGGTTTGACTTCTAATTTTTTTGTACCAGATGCTTGTACAACATCTGATGAAAACAATTTTCTTAGCGAAGAGAAATGCAAGGAGTCTCTAGCTCGTCTTCATCAGGCTCAGTGGTTTCAGGTAAAGCATATTTGTACTATTCTAAATTTAATTTTTTTCTGTACACTTTTGCATAGGTTTTACAGTCCATCTAACTCATAAAGTAATATATTGCAGCTTGCATTTTTGCTACACAGAAATAAAATATCATTTTATTTTGCTCCCATTAAGAACATTCAGAATAATTATCTGGATCAAAAAATTGCTTTAGCCTTCAGTAGTTGTAAGTTTTTCGGGGTTTTTTTGCACTGACATATACCTCGTCCACTTATACTGTAAAGAGCAGTTTTTTAACTGATGGGAAATCATTAATTCTTCCATCACTAACTCATATTCCCTACTCCTAACAGTTTTCTATACATTTTACATACACTTTTTTTTAAAAAAGCTAAGGTAATGCCTGGTACACACGGGGAGTTTTATATCGCTCAACCCAGCGAGCTGAACGAAAAAAAACTGAGGTTGCTGTGCGCAAATCTATACTGCTGAGCTTATGTGTTCACCCTTCGGCAGAACGCACTGATCAGTGCTCACAGCCATGGGCTGCAAGCACTGATTGGATGCTGGTTTTTCCAGCATTCCCATTCAATAAAAGACGGTTGTTTAGAACAGCTTCTCTTGGACAGTCGCACACACGGGCCGAATGTCGGCCAGTTTCATTTGAACTGGATGATATTTGGCCCGTGTGTACCAGCCTTGAGGCTTGTCTTTTGCCACTTTGAGGCCTGCAAAGACAAAAATCGTAATTATAATTCTTTTCATGGGAGTTGATTTACTAAAACTGGAGAGTGCATAATCTGGCGCAGCTGTGAATGTTAGCAAATCAGCTTCTAACTTTAAATTTTTCAGTTAGGCTTTGGCAATAAAACCTGGAAGCTGACTGGTTTCTATGCAGAGCTGCACCAGATTTTACACGCTCCAGTTTTAGTAAATCCTAGTGTGTTAGCTAGAGATTAGTTTTAGTAAGCAACTGCTGTATGTAGAATGTTCCTTTAAATTACCGATTCTCTAAAATCAGCCTCGTAAACTTTTATTGATGAGAGTACCTGTGTCCTATAATCTCAGTTTTTATAAAGCTCTTCATTCTTTGTAAGGTTTAAATTTTCTTTGTTTTTTTACACGGACATATTCTGTAGGCAATATATTGTATTCTAGTGATCTGTTGAAATATTAGAATCCATTTAAATTCAGCAAAATTATTACTTTTGGAGAGAATAAGTAGGGCCTTTTACTTGGCTGCACGGGGTGCACAGTTATTCCATACATCCATGCAGGCAGTCCCATTCATGTCAGTTGGAACACAGTGTCTGCACGAACACAGTTGCTGCTACCAGTTTGACTGCCCCCTTGTGGGTGCACAGCCCTAAACGCAGACAGCGTGCATTCGGGAACCTGCACCCACATAGATGTCAGGTTATTAGCAGCAGCTCTGTTCATGCAGTTGCTGCATCCCAATTGACATAAATAAGGTTGCCTACGTGGGGATGCATGGCACACCTGTGCATCCCTGTGCAGGAAAACATAACCCTTGCACAGGTGTACACTGAACATAAAACCATGTAAATGAGGCCTGAAGGTGAGATGTGGCAGTTTAGAAAATTTCCAGAAATGACTTATGTTAAGATACATTCAAACCTTTATAGCTAAACTCCAGGCAAATGGCTAAATGCAAGAAAATGTCAAAGACAGCACTGTAGCAAAAATACTGTTTTTTCAAAAAATATAAATATATGGTAAAAATATATATAATAATCCATGATAATCATCGGTGCTAACCGCCCACACAGGCACCCTGAAATGCCACCTGAAACCTATCCACCCACTACTATCCCCATCTCCCCCCTCCCTCAACGTAAGCTACGCCACTGCTCAACCACTTCATCTTTCCGATAACCCATGATAAATTATGGTGCAAGACATGCATAGAAAAAGGGGGGGGGGGGGGGATGAGACCCTAAAAAAAAAGTGTACATCAATAAAAATACCGATCTCACAATGCTGCCCTCAGATAGAATACCGGTACCCAAGAAAGACGGGAAAGAGGCCGGCGAGAGGGGCAAGGGGACAGACCCAGCGCGGATACAGGTGACACAAGATCAGCCATGGGGCTGTAGAGCACCAAAAAGACCCTCGTATAAAATGAGGAGTGAAAACTGTCGGACTCTACCAAAAGACTAGTGGTCTACTGACAAGACAGCCTATAACAAGCAAAAAGATAGGCTTCCCCTCTGTAGTACTGGACCATCCACAATCTGGGACTGTATTAGGACTTCCACGGTGGTTAATATAGAGGAATGCATCAAATCATAGTGTATTATCCTTTAAAAAACCATTTTATTCATAAAAGTAATGCACTCACATATACTCTGTATATAAAAACGCTTTGTTCACAAAATGTGTCCTCCAGATCTTTTCTTATGGTAAAAAACCTAAAATTGCCAGCTGGTGTCAATATGGTACCATCGAGCGTCGTAGCGTCAGAGCCTCTCCCCTACGCGTTACGTCACTGGGCACGTAGCTTCATCGGGGGGAAATGATTTGATCCATTCCTCTATATTAACCACCGTGGAAAGGAAGAGTATTATTTGAGTGGAGAAGGACCGCAAAAGGCAAGATATTATCTCATCCATACTCTGGCCCATTTAAAGGGACACAAGCGTTATATGACCTTACTTAACGGTTTGGTCATATACTTGAGGTGAGAGCACAACCGGTGGGGGAGCACGTCCATGAAAGTTTTTTTGCACAAAACATTTTATTTCAGAAGCACGGGTTATTATATTTTTAAAGTGAACTATGCAAGTTTGAAGAAATCTTATTATGGACTTTCCTGATAATTATATGGACACTGTTATTGGAAATTGACACTGGTTTAATATATTTTTTATTTATCTTTATTTTTATTCACTTTTATTCATCATATTTCATTTAATTGTTTATTTATGGTGGTATGCAATATAAGGCTGGCCATACATTATACAATTATCTTCCAATTTTCTGCCCAATTTTCTTTAGATTTACCTTCAACTGTGTAGTGCAAGGGCCTGCCTAATTGGATACAACTGAAAGTGTTTAGGTTTGTCCTACTATTATATGGTTTTTGGTAAATCTAAACCAAAAATCTCCAGATAATTGTATAATGTATGGCCAGCCTAAGTAATAGTAATTGGATGTATAATTTCAAGTGAAGCATGGCACATTAAGGTATATTATTGATTTAGCACACTAGTATGAGTATGTGTCAGGTGCAGGCAATTCACAATTAGCACTTAAGTAGGCTTCAATACTCACATAGCAGCTCACAAGCCTTTACCTTAATAAATATGAGAGCTGTTTTACCTACCAAAGGATTTCAATTTCTGTTCATTTAGTTCTGATATTTACACAGTTCTGCCACTTAGCACAGCCTTGTCTGGCGAGGCAGAAGACCTGATTTTCTTTGCTGCAGTTATGTAAAGCTTTCTGGTTCTATCCTCATATCAGCATGTTCCTTGTTAGAGAATGAGCACTGCAGCTCAACCACTAGGCTCCTTGTGCTGCTTCTCCCTCTCCCAGTCTGAACTCTGCTGTACAGAGATTGCAAGGCTGATACCACATGAAATCTATGATCGTAAAATACTTTCTTTTAAAATTGGCTGCATATACACTGCTCAAAAAGATTAAAGGAACACTTTGAAAACACATCAGATCTCAATGGGGAAAAAAATTCTCATGCTGGATATCTATACTGACATGGACTGGGTAATGTGTGAGGAACATAAGGATGCCCCATCATTTGATAGAAATGAAAATGATCAACCTACAGAGTACTGAATTCAAAGACACCCTGAAAATCAAAGTGAATAAAATGATGCTGCTGGCTAGTCCATTTTGTTGAAATTTCATTGCAGCAACTCAAAATGGTACTCAGTAGTTTGTATGACCCCCACGTGCTTTGTATGCATGCCTGACAACGTTTGGGTATGCTTCTAATGAGACGACAGATGGTGTCCTGGAGTATTTCCTCCCAGATCTGGACCAGGGCATCACTGAGCCCCTGGATAGTCTGAAGTGCAACCTGGCGGCAGCGGATGGACCAAAACATGATATCCCAGAGGTGTTCTATTGGATTTAGGTCAGACGAGCATGGGGGCAATTCAATAATATCAATTCCTTCATCCTCCATGAACTGGCTGCATGCTCTTGCCACATGAGGCTGGGCATTGTTGTGCACCAGGAGGAACCCAGGACCCACTACACCAGTGTAGGGTCTGACAATGGGTCCAAGGATTTCATCCCAATACCTAATGGCAGTCAGGGTGCCATTGTCTAGCTTGTAGAGGTCTGTGCGCCCCTCCATGGATATGCCTCCCCAGACCATCACTGACACACCACCAAAACTGTCATGCTGAACGATGTTACAGGCAGCATAACGTTCTCTCCACGGCTTCTCCAGACGCTTTCACGTCTGTCACATGTGCTCAGGTTGAGCCTGCTCTCAGCCTGTGCAACCTCTGTAGGGTCCAGGTATTGTCTCATGCTACCAGTAGTGACAACAAAATGTCAGTGGCCTCCACCTATAAAACCATTCCTGTTTTGGGGATCGTCTCATTGTTGCCCATCTAGTGCACCTGTTGTTAATTTCATTTACACCAAAGCAGCTGAAAGTGATCAACATCCTCCTAAATTGACCAGATCAATATGCCAGGAGTTTAATTGACTTGATGCTATACTCTGATTAAAAAGTGTTCCTTTAATTTTTTTGAGCAGTGTATTTGTGTTTTATATCTGCAGTTCAGATTTAGGTAATAGAGCTGGTGCCCATGTATCTGTAATTCTTGATTCCCATCTCTGTTGGGCTCTGTTAGCATTGTACTTCAGTTGTAGAAGTTTACCAAAGATGCAACGGTATTAACCACTTCAGCTCTCACTCCTATATAACTCATATGGATCAGAGCAATTCCAAAGTTCAGTACCTCTGCAAAAAATTTTTTAAATGTGTCTTTTTTCTATTTTGACAGGTTGTTAAATTTAAAATGAAT